AACCAAACCGAAAAAACGGTTCGGTTTCGGTTTGGTTTACGGTTCCAAAAATTTCTATTTACAAGAATAAATTGTTAATATTAGCAAAATAATTACTCAAACTAATTACATTTAACTCATGATAAAAACTAATAATATTAAGGCATTACTTAATACTACATATCTATACTATCATAATATCATTAAAATTATAAAAAACCAATTAATAAAAATAAAACTTGATATTATATATATATCTTTTAAAATTCGATTCGGTTCGGTTCGAACCATGGTTTTTTTCATAAAATCCATTAACCGAACTGTTTTTACGGTTCTCATATTTCTTAATCTGAAACCGAACCAATTCTTAATAGAATCGAACCAAACCGTATGATTCGGTCTGGTTCGGTCCGGATTACCGGTTTGAACTGATTTTTGAACAGCCCTACCATTTATGTTTGGTCAGTTTCTCACTTTAGCTATTAAAATTTGTTTTTTCCTAGTTTGACTCTTCATATTTTAAGTTTTTCTCACTTTACTCTTAAAGTTAATTTCTGTTCAAAATTAGACAGAAAATGCTACAATAATTATCACATAACAAAAAAAATATATTATTATGGAGTTTAAGTTTATGTCAAAGGTTTGAGTTTTATATAATAAAATATTTTTTTACCATGTGAGTGCCAATGTGTCATTTTCTATCTAATTTTGAACAGAAAATAGTTTTAAGAGTAAAATGAAAAAAATTTAAACATGAAAAGTTAAAGTAAGAAAAAAATAAACTTTAAAAATCAAAGTAAAAAAGTGATCAAACATATGTTTGGATTGAGTGATTCGAAGAGAAAAGAAAAGAATTGAGAGATATGTATTTTTCTTACTTGTTTGGATAATTTAAGTGGAGAGAAATTGAGAGAAATTTATTTCTCTTATAATTTTTATTTTCAATCTTCCTAAAAGTGAAGAGATTGGAAGAGAAAAGAAACCAAATAATTCTTATATTTTCATAATATCAATTTTATTCCCGTAAAAATAAAAAAAAATAAAATGATTGAAAATTTAAAAATATTATTTTGATAATATAACATAAAATAATTTCTTTTCTTTTCTCTTATAAAATCTAACCAAATAAAAAAAAAAGAAATCCTAATTTTTTTTTAACTTATTCAAACAAAAAAAAAAAATCACAATTATTACTTTTCTTTTTTTTTCTCTTATCTTTTCTTTTTACTATGTGCTTCTAGGGTAAAGGAAACAAAGTAATACATCTTAAAATTTTTTTATAAATTTATAAATATTTTATGAAGTTACACTCAGTTTCGTAATTCTTTTTTTATAGTTTATGGGTTCTGAAATTTGTTGATTGGAAGTGAAGAATGGATTGATTAAGCAGAAAGCAGAGGGTGCAAACATTCGTAGCTTCATTTTTGGGATATACATATACTCCACCACGACACGACACGACACGACACCTCATCTCTGACGCTGGGTATATCTCTCCTCTTGAACTTTTCTCATTTAAATCTCTTTGACGATCATTCTCGTGGGTTGATTAAAGTCTCCATAACTTTTATGGGCTATTGCTTCGACAACTGTTGCTCTCAACAATGGTGGTCCTTGGAATTTAACGAAGAATTGAAGTCGAGGTTGTTTTGGGGACGAGACAGGGTTTCAGGACTCTGTTTCGTTTCGTGGTAATGGAGGAGATAGGGTTTGTTCTTGTGTTGTTGTTGAGAGCGGCATGGCTTGCTGGGACATTGCTGATACTTATCGCTGTGATACCCTCGTCTCGGTTTAATTCGTTTCATGAATGTTTGTTAGGGTTTGCTAAGAGAGGGAAGATATTGCAATCCTCTTCAAATGTAAGTAATTTCCATCTCTATTTCTATTTCTATTTCTCTATATATATACACTAGAAGTGATGCATATGATCATTTTATTTTTAAAAAATTAAATTAAGTTAAATAAAGATTATAAACTGTATGATCGAAATTAAAATCTAAAAATTAAAATGAAGTTTGAAAAATCAGAAGTTGAGAGTTTTTTTTTTTTTTTCAAACTTCATTTTAATATTTAGATTTTAATTTCGATCATACAGTTTATAATCTTAATTTAATTTTTTAAAAATAAAATGATCATATGCATCACTTCTAGTGTATATATATAGAGAAATAGAAATAGAAATAGAGATGGAAATTACTTACATTTGAAGAGGATTGCAATATCTATCTACTATAGGGTTATTTTGAGAAAATCTAGTCTTCACATATGGTATGTATGTATGCATAGATAGATAGATAGATAGAGGCTATATATATATATATATGCAGTAGTTGAGCGTATGAACACAATGCCTTTGTAATTTACATCTAAATTTTGGTTTGATAAATTAGGAAGTTGTGCTGAATTTGAAAATCGTTTAGTAGTTGTTTACGGGATGTGGAGTTTTAAACTAACCTAATTGTAGTTTTGAAACAAAAGTGTGTATAGTTAGCAATTTTATGGGCATTCTTGGGAGAGAAAAACATAAAGTGACAAAACTTCAAAAATGTTATGAGTTGTCTGTTTTATAGAATATATATATATATATATACTAGAAGTGACAGCACACATGATGCGTGCGCATAAAATCATTTTGTTTCAGAAAAATAAGATTGTAAACTATATCATTGAATTCAAAATCTGAAAATTGAAATGAATTTGGAAAAATCAGACGTTGAGAGATTTGGGGGGAAAAAAACCTGAATTTAGGGCATAACTGCCTATATAACTACTATAAGGTTATTTTTGGAACAATCTAAAATATGAGACGTCAACACTAACTCTAGCCTTCGCATATATAACAGTATAGAAGATATATAATGTAGATACACCTCCCCTTTATGAGGAGTAATAAATTATAATTATAACTAGACTAAAATAAATGAATAGTATGTGTATGTGTATGTACATGTGAAGCAAATTCACTATCTGTTTTACGTCAAGCAATACATGGAGAAACTCCCGATATAACAATAAAAACAAGATGTGTAGGTGTACTTATGCAATAAGTCAGATAGATATCAACACGTCAAGTACATATATTGACCCATAGAAAAGACTAGCAGGGAAAGCACACAAAGCCAACAACACTCTTAATATAGTTATCACCTTGCTGAGCTTGAAGCCTTTTTTTGAATCCTAAAATGGCAGGTGTGGAAGCATTTACTTGCGTTGGTCCCATTCCCATAATTGTTGGAAGATGTAGATTTTAAATCCATCTACCACGTTAACGTCAAGGCCTTATTTGCTTGGCTTTAGATAATTGCTCTTTTAAGCTCTTCTGAACAACCTAATTTGGGGCATCAATCAATGTGTTTTTCCTGGGAATCCCTCGTTTACACATTCCTATTATTTTTTCCCTTATAGATTCTCCATTTTATCTTTCCATATTATACAGCATCATCTTTGTAGTTAGGTCAAGAAAGAATCTCAATCTAATACTCATTGGAGTTATTTCACGAAGACTTGTCATGTTAAGGAAGAAGGGGGGAACAAGCACACTTAGAGAGCCGTATTGGAGATTCATAGGGCTTTCTTTGGGATGGCACCCATACCATTCCTAAAATGGGAGGCCCTAATGACCATAGATCGAACCTATCCAATTTTTACAGTGCGATGGTGGACTATTCATGGACTAGTTGTACCTATCATTTATTTTTTGGGGTCAATATCAGCAATGCAGTTAATCCAACGAATCACACATACGGATGTATGTTTTTAAATTAAGGTTGAATTGGGAAATTATTTTGGATGCGGGCTTGAACAATGTTTGAGCATGGTTTGAGGTTGTTTTGTGGTAAATTAATTGAACGACTGCTGGGTTTGTCATTGTCCATTGGTGAAGAAAGAACAACATAGGCTACTTTACTGAGCTGAAACTGGAATTTGAGAAGTCTTGTTTTTAACGAGAAGTTTGTGTTAGGTTCGAACTTGTAAGTGATTGAAGTGGATACATGATCATCTTATCTAAAAATAGAAAGAAAGTGATAATGTATATTCATGTTATGTTATTGGAATGGCACACCACATGTCATGTAGGCAGATCTACTGGATATTTTCTCATCTTTTAGTTTCCATGATTAGTGTGTCATATGTCCAAGCACGGTCGATCGTACTATGTTCCTCTAATTATATATATACACATATTTGAAGCTTTCAAGTACATTTTTCTGCTAAAGTTATCCATATATCCATAATAAATATCTCTGTTAAATTGTTGATTTGCAGAAATTCACTGTACCTCAGAAATTTTTCAGTCATTTTTATGTGTTGGCTGTGGTGTGGACAACATTGTTGCTGGCCACAACTTGGTTTTATGCATATAAAGAGGCACCATTGGCCTTTGGGCCTTTACAATACTCCACTATTGTCAGCTACTTGACTGGGGGTTCGAATATCCTTTCTTTTCATAAATCTCATTCTCATCTGAGCACTGTAAAATATAGATACAAGGTTTGGCAATCTGTATTTCTGCTCTTGTTGATGGAAGTTCAAGCATTGAGACGCCTTTGTGAGACAATATATGTATTCAAGTACAGTCCCTCAGCTCGGATGCACATTTTTGGCTACCTTGCTGGCCTATTGTAAGTTTCATGAGAATCTTATAAACTATTATATTAATTTATAGTTCTCTTAATACATCTTCTATGGTTGTTGTAATTAAAATCTCCTTTATATCAAGAAGCAACTCCCATAATCAAAATATCCACCTGTAAACCCATGTTTTAGGGATTAACAAGTTGTGGCAGTGGATGGTATTTAGCAAGATGAACTGTTCGATAATGATAGACTGTTTGTTTAAATGGCTGCATATGACTGGAAAGACGTGTGGCTACTGATGCTAGCTTTTGTCATGTACTCTTGAATTTTTCTAGATGATTGTTTTGCACCATACCCTGCTTGTAATTGTTCAATTTCTGACTGCCTATGACTCCCTTTTCATGTATTTTATAACTGCAAAGCTTGTAATCGTTGGTTTTCTGCTCTCTAAAAGATGAAATAAACCGAGCACATATTATCTAAGCATATTTTATCATGCAGTAAAACATATAATTTTGTTGATGAAGTAAAATGATAATGGATATAGAGGAAACCGATAGAATTGTATGTGGATGCTGACCCTTTCATTCATGTCTATTTTGTATTTTTGCAATGATTTTATGGTTTTCATTTTTGTGCTGCTCCGTTTTAGTCTTAGATGTTGTCATGGCAGTTAAGTGGTCATTATTATGTCTTGCTTGTAGGCTAAATTTAAGATTTTTCTTTTTCTTTGTGCCCCCACCCAGCCGCTGCATGTGTGTGCTCACATTCACACATTTTTTTTCCTCATCCTTAAAAGGTTTGTCGACTGATTGTTAGAATGTCTTTTGTACTGCTGGATGTTTTCTGGTCATTTTACAGTTTTTACTGTTTGAACCCATAACATATATTTGATTGGAAATTCTACTGCATACTTTCTTGCAGATTTGTGAAGGTTCATGAATCAAAACACAACAATATGGCCTTGTTTGGGAAGTAGGCTATTTTAGTTTTTGACTATTGTAGTAGGCTTAAATTTTTATGTTTGGGAAGATGGTTGGATATTTTTATAGTTGGATGTGATGTTTGTGAGAGAAAAAGTGAAATGATTATGGGTTTGATGTGACATTTTGTCTTATTAACTATTTTAGCCTATTTTGTCTTCTTGTGAATTTTAGCCTAAAATGCCAAATTTTAGCCTTTGCCAAACGAGGCCATATTAAGCCAATTTCTGACATGTAGGTTTTATAGAATGAAAAGAACGTTATTTTCTTGCTAGAAATATAGTATGTGGTACGCTGAAACTATTGCTGAAGCCGAACTATACGACTGTTAGGAAACCATGATTTGTGATGATTCTAACTGCTCAGTATGTATACGGTCAACTTTTGTCTGATCCTCGATGACAGTATATTATGTATGTGTCAAAAGATATTTTACTGATGTTTGGTATGTTTCTGAAACTAGTTTCTACACAGCAGCGCCACTTTCACTTTGCTGTACAGTTGCACCGGAGGTATTTACATTTGCCGTAAATCAGGTGGCTGAGTTCATTGTTAAAGGAAAGAATCAGATCCCAGCCACTGAATTTGATTGGTGGCAATTTGTGGGTCCTCTTATGAAACTTAAATGGAATTCATGGATTGGAATGGCTATATTTTTTGGGGGTTGGATTCATCAGCGCCATTGTCATGCAATTCTTGTAAGCTTCACATCTGCCATGTTCTTTTGTTTTAATTGAGACGTCAATTTCTTAGGTTTGAATTTCTGTTTCGGTCAATAAAGTATGTGCCTAATGTTCCTCAATGACCTAATCCACCAAGCTTTCATTTGTCCTGTAAGATAATTACATAAATATGTGGCTATAACAATAAGTTGGTTTTAACTGCTAAAAAAATAGATGTAGATGGAGACCACTGCACTACCACATGTGCTTCTCGTTGCGTTGAACAAAAGGTATGAAAATAACTTAACAAAATGAAATAGTGAAGAGAAGTTGGACAGTATGGAGGACTAATACTGATGAACTGTTATTTTAGATTTATGCAAATTATAGGCAGAAATGCTGGTCATAAAACAAATGTAGCTGTGCCGGCATGATTTTGCTCATTCATTTTTTTGTACCGGTAAGGAGTGTTTAGTCATAACTCAACTTCTTCATATGTGATACACACAAGCATGTCTTGTTTCGATTTCTAATTTTGATTGAAATGATTCATTCATTTTCTGGGCTACACAAGTTGCTGGCTTAAATGCAGCACGTGCTTCTTTTTTTTTTTTGAGGAATGCAGCACATAGTTCAGGAGTGTGAAATGCAGCATCTATTTACACCCAATAAATATCTCATTACAACCATTTGTTTAAGACTTTCTTCATAATGTACAAGTATTAAAATAATGAAACATTTATTGTGCAAATAGAAGCTCCCGTATGAAATGCATTTTCACCTTCTTCGTCAGCTCAATTATTTTGGGAATGCGAAGCACAAAGAACTAATCTTCAGAAATACATGGACAGAAGAATATTTTCAGACAAATCTTTTTTGTCTTATCAACTTTAGTAAATCTCATTTTATGTTTGACTTTGTTGTACATGACCATTGTCCATTTCAGCCATTCTCTTTTATGGTTTATTATGTTGGGAGAAGGTGAGGTGACAATGTTCATTGTCAAATTAGGAGCCCCACTTTAGTTTATTGTGTTCTCTTTGTAACCATCATTGACGGAACCTTCTACCTTTCAACCAGGGTTCATTGCGGGAGAACCTAGAACAAGCTGATGACTATGTAATCCCTTACGGCGATTGGTTTGAATATGTTTCTTCTCCACACTACTTGGCTGAGATTGTAAGCTTCTCTTCCCTTTCTTTATTTCTTTCTTTCTTTGTAATTCCTCCAGATCTTGGTAGCCCAAAATAGTAGTTGAAATATATCTGGTACAAGTGCTCGAAAATCAAGGAATCTACGGTAACTTTGAACCTAACTTTTCATAAGCACTAGCACTTTCATTGTTTTACCCTAACCTGCTTTTTTATGAAGGTTATATACGGTGGTCTTGTGGTTGCTAGTGGTGGTGCAGATCTGACAATCTGGTTACTCTTTGGATTTGTGGTATTGTTTCAATCCCATCGCTTGATATATGGTTGATAATCATAAATTGTTTTTCTTTTCTTTTTCAGCTACTCTATGTCAGTTCTTTAAAATCGAGTTTCTTGTATTGGGGTGTGGCAGGTGGCAAATCTTGTATTGGCAGCGGCAGAAACACATAGGTGGTATCTCCGTAAATTTGACAATTACCCAAAACACCGATTCGCCATTATTCCATTTGTGTATTAGTTCTTAGTCAACCTAGTCACTGATTCTCATGTATTCCAATCTATACAATGCTTATGGTAGAAACACTTTGAGATGTTTATACACTGAATGTAATTGCTTAGAAGCTTTGTCATAAAAGATGTGAAAATCTGAGTTTCAACTTGCCTTGTATAAAGATCGGTGAGATTGATTGCTATTTTAACCAAAATAATAAGAAAATTTTTGATGAAAAAAAGTGTTTTCTGGGTTATTTTTATTTCGTATACTATTGTAATGCAATCAGAGGAGGTGATGTGTATCTGCTGTTTAATCGGAAACATGAGGTATATCCTTGCCAAACTTAAGGTTCATTGGCGGTACATTCAGAATATTCTCCGTTATATTAAGAAAACTGAGAGGGGAGTAAGAAAGTTGCAGTTGTACGATGAACAATTAAGGGATGTTAAATTTGATAATAAATGTGTGGCAAGATTGCTTAATGGTATTGAGTTGAGTAATAAGAGATGTGACCGTCAATCAGATAAGATCGTGGTTAAGGGTATAAAATTAATTGGGAATGTTCAATTAGGACATGATGCTAAAGACGAAGCTGTGGTCCACCATATATTGTTTTTATCATAAGTGATAATAGTTCGTCAGATTCCGTCCCTATACCTGACAAAATATTTATTAGAGTTAGCAAGGGTAATCCTAAGACCTGGATTGTTGATCCTGACCAGTCCGACCGATTTTGGATGTTAAAGAAAATAAGATTCAAGCTCGTTGGTGGCAAGGACAAAGAGGACGTTCGTCACGAAATAGAAGTTGTGGACTAGTTCTTTCCAGTTGATGTTTGGACGGACTACAAAGATACGCTCTTGGGAAATGCTGGAAGTATTCAAAAGAGTGTCATATATTTAGTGGCCACTATTGTTAGTGGAAAAGAATGCAAAATTACTTTAAGGAGTCAAATGTATTTTAAAACTATTTAGAATTATAATTTTATTTTTATTTGTAATGTTCAGGTTAATGGAGGTGGACGATATAAAAACTGGTGTTGAAGGGGTTTCAGCAAGTGATTTCAGTTGTATTGAACTTACTTTACCTAATTTATTTTCTCAGTTAAGGTTGAGATACAAACAAAAGAGTATTAAGGTTAATAAAATATTGATAAAATATTCTCCCCTTTGCGCACCCAATACCAGTGGTTTGGTCAGAGTAAATATCTATGATCGGAGGTTAGATGGTAATGACAGCCTACAGGCGTGGTTCTTTTTCCTGTAGATTGTCAATGCGAGTTAGTCTATTATGGTAATGGTTATTGTTCAATTAACGACAAACAGGTGCCATGGTTGGTGAAGTATCGACTTGGAAATTCGAATATTAAAAAGGGGATTACGTACTGTAAAATGAAGGGGTATCTGAAGTATTCTACGAGTGATATGCCAGAAGATTCGCGCAAATGAGAGCCCCCTCTATTGTTGTGTTATCTAAAAAATATTCTAATGAAAATATTGATGTTTGGCATTGTCCTCCAACGAAGGCTATTCCGATTCTGACACGGACTAAGTCTGTGGGTTTACCGAAGAGGCAAAAAGATTTGTTGTTAGGAGGTTTTAGGGAAAGTGGTTCAGTTATTCATGAACGTAGAGGTCATCCTAGTTTGTCCGAGATTGATGTACGCAGAGGTGGTGATGACACTAGTGATGCTGATCTTGGTCCGTCGATTTCGAAGGTTGGTGTTAGCAAGGAGGAAGTTGATCGTAAAGGATCAGTCTTTATGGACCCCGCAGAATTTTCTAATGTTTTACGAAATATAATCATCAGTGTAAAAAATAGTGATGTGACTCAAGATGTAATAGTTGATGATAAAGGAAATGTAGTAAGTAAATAAAACTTTAAGTGGTTTTGTAAATAAAATTAATAAAATTTGTCATTAATCATGACAGTGGTTACAACTATTGATCAAGACATCAAACCATTCTCTCATTTTTGGAGACATTGCATCTAACCAACTACTGTCCCCCATTAGTTAATATAATACAAGGAATTTCTCCTATAATAGTGGAATCTGGTTGGAATTTAACAAATACATGGAAATCTCTCTGGCAGCCTACTAAATTTTTCATTAATTCAGTGGGGACTGTCGAGTATTTGATGTCGTCTATGACGTTGTAGACGGCGTCTTGGTCATAGTCCTTGAAGCTTATTCTGCCGGAGAAGTAATTGTGTCGTCCGAGGCTTTTGCCCTAGGCGGTTTTGCCTGTTCTTGAGGGTCCTTCGAGGTAGAGGGAGATTGAGCGGATGGCCCTCTGTTCTGGTTCCTCTTATCAGAAAAGGGAGTTCTTCGTCAACATATAAATTGTTGATATTATTTTTGTGTATCCCTAATCTAAGGAAGCCGTCTTCTCTCCAAACAGAGAGACAACAATTTTGACATAACTAGTACTGAACGAAATTTTGACTTACAAACAAAATATTATTTTTTGCCCATTTTTTTACTTCTTCATTTAAGAAAGGAAATGAATTAAAGGGGCTAGTATATAGGGCCTCTCTCTTTTGTAATGATCCCTCGAAAATATTTTTAATTGGGGGTATTTTGTGACGTAATCGGTGGGACATCTTTCTTTACAGAGTGCAAAGAATTGTTCCTCCGTTTCTGCTTCTCCAAGTATTCCCCTCCAGAGTTCGTCTCTATTTTTCGAAGGACTTTTCCCCTTAGATGAAAACTCTTCCCATTCGACGAACTCACCCCCTTTCTGTATATACTGTCGACTTGCTATTGGCGAGTGAAGTTTTTCTATATATGGATGATAGATTCTGCCGTTGGTTCTAGTGAGATCGAAAAATCTCGGGTTGAAGGTTTGAATTTTCTTCGTGCATTGAACCATGGCATGGAGGTGGGGGTTTCTATCTTCGTGGAGCTCTCTTGCGGCAAGTATGTAATATGGCTGACAGGCTAGTTGGAGAAGGGATTTGAGTAGTTCTAAGAGTTGTTCTTTTAGGCATGGGCATTGTGGGTTGGTAAGGAAAACATTTTTGGCATAAAAACGGAAAGAGGCTTGGCGAGGCATTTTGTAATGGTAAATAGTGAACTCACACCAATCGTACAAGGCCTCCCTATTAGTTAAAAAACTTGGTGTGAATGGTGTGAGTGGTGTGACTGGGGGGGCGCTATATTAATATTACCAGCGCCCCCCCTCCCGCTGATCTGGGCCGTCCATTATTGTACTTATGGACACGTGTATGGATGTGATTAAAAGGAAGTCACACCCGGGCCCAGGTGTGAGTGGTGTGAGTACTTTTGATTCATTTGCTAGATAGTGCTATACACGTGTCGCTTTTCTGGTGGTTTGCGTGGTTGTAAAGTAAATATTCTTGCAGAATGATAGACATAAAGCAAAGGCGGGAAAATATATGTGTTTGAATTATTTTGAATGGGGAATCTTCATCCTTACACGCGGTCCATTATTGCTAAATATTTGGTACCATAAATATTTTATAGCAGAGGGGAATATGCTTTTGTAGTGGGATAGCTATTGTGGTGAAGTTGTTTTCTGATACCTTGTTTCGTCCCTCATTTTCAGTCTTTTTTTGTTGTTGATTGTTTTGGTATACAATGTTGTACTCCTTAGAAGAGTATTCCGAGAATTACGGGCAGTTCACTCAAATGTGTGTAAATCGTTTTTTGACGTGGCAAATAGGACTGTGGGAAAAGAGGCGGCGGTTAGCTCTGGTGAAGTTTGTTCGTGAGAACAAGGAGCAGAGGGAAAAAATATCAAAGCTAAGATGTCTGAACAGACTGTCATTACCATATAACCTCTGATCATAAATATTTACGCAGATCAACCCACTAGCATTGGGTACGCAAAAGGGGGAATATTTTATCAATATTTTATCAACCTTAATACTTTTTTGTTTGTATCTTAAGCTCAATTGAGAAAATAAATTAGGCAACGCAAGTTCAATACAACTGAAATCACTTACTGAAACACCTTCAACAACACCAGTTTTTATATCGTCCGCCTCCATTCAAAACCTGAACATTACAAATAAAAAAATACATAAAATTATAATTCTAAACAGTCTTAAAGTACATTTGACTCCTTAAAGTAATTTTGCATTCTTTTCCACTAACAGTAGCGGCCACTAAATATATGGCACCCTTTTGAATATTTCCAACATTTCCCAAGAGCATATCTTTATAGTCTGTCCAAACATCAACTGGGAAGAACCGGTCCACAACTTCTATCCCGTGACGAATGAACTCTTTGTCCTTGCCACCAACGAGCTTGAATCTCATTTTCTTTAACATCCGAAACCGGTCGAACTGGTCAGGATCAACAATCCAGGTCTCAGGATTACTCTCGCCAACTCTAATAAATATCTTGTCAGGTGTAGGGACGGAATCTGACGAATTATTATCACTTATGATGAAAAACAATATGTGGTGAATTACAGCTTCGTCTTTAGCATCTTGTCCTAATTGAACATTCTCAATTAATTTTATACCCTTAACCACGATCTTGTCTAATTAACGGTCACATCTCTTATTACCCAACTCAATACCATTAAGCAATCTCGCCACACTTCTATTATCAAATTTAACATCCCTTAATTGTTCATCGTACAGGTGCAACTTCCTTATTCCCCTCTTAGTCTTCTTAATAAAATGGAAAATATTCTAAACGTACCGTCGGCAAACATACGCCGCCTTAAAAGGTGCACAACCACAATAACTCTGCTTATATCCACTGACCACCGATGTCCTTGACCTCCGGTACGCAAAGGGAGTCTGATACTAGCTGCCCATACCTCCTTTCATTTTTTATAAAACACTCCAAATCTTTTATCTTACAAATTTGGCAGATTCTCTTACCTCTGCTAACCATTCTGTTCAGACACCTTAGCTTTGATATTTTTTCCCTTTGCTCCTCGTACCCACGAACAAACTTCACCGGAGCTGACCGCCGCCTCTCTTCCTACAGTCCTATTTGCCACTTCAAAAAACGATCTACACACATTTGAGTGAACTGCCCGTAATTCTCGGGATATTCTTCTAAGGAGTACAACATTGTATACCAAAACAATCAACAACAAAAAAAGACTGAAAATGAGGGACGAAACAAGGTACTAGAAAACAACTTCATCACAATAGCTATCCCACTGCAAAAGCATATTCCTCTCTGTCATAAAATATTTTATGGTACCAAATATAAAGCAATAATGGACTGCGTGTAAGGACGAAGATTCTCCATTCAAAATAATTCAAACACATATATTTTCCCTTCTTTGCTTTATGTTTATCATTCTGTAGGAATATTTACTTTACAACCACGCAAACCACCAGAAAAGCGACACGTGTATAGCATTATCTGGCAAATGAATCAAAAGTACTCGCACCATTCACACCTGGGCCCGGGTGTGACTTCCTTTTAACCACATCCATACACGTGTCCATAAGTACAACAATGGACGGCCTAGATCAATGGGAGGGGGGGCGCTAGTAATATTAATACAGTGTCCCCCCAGTCACACCATTCACACCAGGTTTTTTAACTAATAGGGAGGCCTTGTATGGCTGGTGTGAGTTCACTATTTACCACTACAAAATGTCTCGCCAAGCCTTTTTCCATTTTTATGCCAAGAATGTTTTCATCACCTATCTACAATGTCCATGCCAAAAGAACAACTCTTAGAATTCCTCCAATCCCTTCTCCAACTAGCCTGTCAGCCATACTACATACTTGTCGCAAGAGAGCTCCACGAAGATAGAAACCCTCACCTCCATGCCATGGTTCAATGCACGAAGAAAATTCAAACCTCCAACCCGAGATTTTTCAATCTCACTAGAACCAACAGCAGAATCTATCATCCAAATATAGAAAAACTTCACTCGCCAATAGCAAGTCGACAGTATATACAGAAAGGGGGCGAGTTCGTCGAATGGGGAGAATTTTCATCTAAGGGGAAAAATCTTTCGAAAAACAGAGACGAACTCTAGAGGGGAATATTTGGAGAAGCAGAAACGGAGGAACAATTCTTTGCACTCTGTAAAAAAAGATGTCCCACCGATTACGTCACAAAATACCCCCAATTAAAAATATTTTCGAGGCATCATTACAAAAGAGAGAGGCCCCATATACTAGCCCCTTTAATTCATTTCCTTTCTTAAATGAAGAAGTAAAAAAATAGGCAAAAAATAATATTTTGTTTGTAAGTCAAAATTTCGTTCTGTACTAGTTATGTCAAAATTGTTGTCTCTCTGTTTGGAGAGAAGACGACTTCCTTAGATTAGGGATACACAAAAATAATATCAACAATTTATATGCTGACGAAGAACTCTCCTTCTTTTCTGATAAGAGGAACCAGAACAGAGGGTCATCCGCTCAATCTCTCTCTACCTCGAAGAACCCTCAAGAACAGGCAAAACCGCCTAGGTCAAAAGGCTCGGACGACACAATTACTTCTCTGATAGAATAAGCTTCAAATATTACGACCAAGACGCCGTGTACAGTGTCATAGACGACATTAAATACTCGACAGTCCCCAACCAGCTATAGCTTTTGCACAATACTTTTCTCACCATCCAACCAAAATTTTCTCACCTCCACCAAATTTTCTCTCTCCTCTTGAGTAAACTTGTCTTCTGCAGGAAAATTTTCGAAGGGAACACAACTTTAACATGAAAATTTTTCTCCTTCTGATCAACATAATTCAAGTGGGTACAACTTGCACAACAACCAAGCAACAGAATCAAATCAAATCAGGCTCAGAATTAAGTACTCTTTTTGGGAGTTAGTTTTTTAACTTTTTTTTTTATTTTAGACTTATTTGTCTTTAATATTTTTTTGAAAAAAATGTCAAATTTGAATAATTTGAAAAAAAAATTAAAATTGAATATTAAAAAAAAATAGAAAAGACAAATAAACAAATTTTTTTGTATTTTTAAATTTGACTTATTTTCATCTTTGATGAATTTTTAAAATTTATTATTATTATTATTATTTTAATTTTTAGAATCATCTATTCTAGATAAACTTTAAAAAAATCAAAAAATGTTAGAAAAAACAAAATAAGTTGAAAAAATATGCCTAATCAACACAACAGCCAATACACTGAATACGAGCAGGCTAAGTGTTTAGGTATAAGTTTATTTATTTATTTATTTTGGAATAAATATATTTAATAAAGTAGGATAAGAATCTATCATCAGTTTCTCTGAACCCTGTACTTCATTTTGATTTTCAGTAGACTGATATGGGCATTGCAGTGACAGCAACTCAACAACTTTACCAGCGTTCTCCGGAAAATGAAAACAGAAAATGAAAACAAAAACACAATCAGACAGGCCATTTTACGACAAGCATTGCACGATAACATCTAGCATCCAAAGTGGCTCTCACTGTCCAAAGCCGCATGCTCATTTCCCTACCGTTATGAGAGAGAACCACAGAAACTGGATAAAAATTGAACCCACAATGAATAATGTAAATGAGATATTGTGTCCATTACTGGTCCATCTTTTAAACGCACCAAGTATGGATGATGTGCCCTATTGACGTAAAAATAGATCAAAGCTGACTCAAAAGTTGGATCAAGAGGCTTTTATTCCAACATAAGGAGCATTCGCTCTACTTCCCTTCAGGTTTATAGATTTTAGCTGGATGTAGTTAGGGTAGAGGTGGGTATGCCAAAGAAAATGACCTTGTCAAGCTTGAAGCACGTGGTGACATACAGAAAGACAGGACTCACATTCTCTGCAAGAAGACAGAAGCCAGAACCGAACAAAACAATACACAAGCATCTCATAACTAGTTTTAACAAGCATTGCATGATGACATCTAGCATCCAAAGTGGCTTTAATTGTCCAAAGTTCAATCCACCACATGGTTCCACCGGCATGTAATTTCAGGGTGGTGGATCAGTTTCGTCATAAGTTTTAAATGTGTTCTATGTATAGAATCATTGATAGATCTAACCAACTTCTGAAAATCACCGTTTCTTCACATTTTATTCTTCAGCATAACATGAAACGAATCACTCACTCACAATTGCCATAGTTATGCATATACATCAATGCCCCAAAATTTCGCAGGTTGATTAGTCCGATAGTTCCTGTCAATGCTTTTGATCAGGTCCATGTCCTCCTTGGTCAACTCGAAGTCAAGCACTTGGATATTCTCCTTCAATCTCTCGATTTTTGATGACTTTGGAATGACAACAGTACCCCGTTGGATACCCCAGCGCAGAACAATCTGGGCCACAGTCTTTTTGTATTTCTCCGCTAGACCCTGAAACCATAGAAGCAAAGACAAAATCATTTTGGTGCATTTACATTCATAAAAGTAAATTCTTATTTGATCATGAGAACAATCACTTTACTGCCCACTGAGACTCTGAGAGAGGAAGTTTTTGAATTCTAACTTACTTTGAGAACGGGATCATCCAAACATGATACAGTACCAAACAATTCGGTGTTAGCCACAGCGCCTCCTAGAGGTGTGTGGGCTGTGACACAGATACCATGCTTTTGACAGAATTTGACAAGCGAATCACGCTGGAAGTAGGGGTGTGTTTCAATCTGGTTCACAGCAGGCTTCACTTTGGAATAAGCCAAGCAATCTCTAGTTAAGAAGATGTTGTAGTTGCTGCAAACAAAATTTTCTTATGAGAGCCAGATTTCAAACTCATAAAATGTCCAAGAACTAACCTACATTGTTACTTGCATTGAACGTGAACGGAAACGTAGTAGGCCACATGCTCTAAAATGTGGTACAATAAGAATAGACTTATAGATTACACCATCAAAATTTACGGTACTTCTAGAATAATTTTCTTTCAACAAATTAAGTGCCCAATAAAATGTTTTTTTTTCTTTTCAAATTAATCATGTAGTAACACATGTTTATGAGCGTTTTAATCCCTTTTTTGACGTTGTCCAGTCAAAATTTCACTCACCTTAAATTTTAGTTCATTATATTTTATTTTTGTCTAGTCAAAACTTCACTCACCTTAAATTTTAGTTCACTATAATTTTTCTTTTCTTTTCTTTTCTTTTCTTTGAATTTCCAGTCAAAACTTCTAAGGAAACCTTTAGGAAACATATTGGAAGAAAAGTTTTTGGAATCGCTTTGGATTACTAAATTTACCGTTTTGAAACAAAAATAAAACATGTTTCCGAAAGTGTGTTCCAAAACATAATTCACTAGAGTATTAGCGCTTTCTAGTAACACTTATTGAGACAGTAGAAATGAATAGTTTGAACTCTAAACAACTACCTATATAAGATCAAACTAACCATAGGCATTCAACAGGAGAAATTCACTTTAAAACAAAATTTTGTTATGATCTCAATAGACAAGGAATTGTCCAAGTGTACATTGCAAGGTTGTGTGGGAAAGCATTATGATAATAGCAAATGAAGACGCATAATGGTAGATGAATGCACCTGATCCCTACGCTGCGAACCAAACCCATTGAAACCAGGCTTTCCATAGCATGCCAGGTAGTTTCCAAGGTTATCGTTGTGTCTATGTCCAGCACACCATCATCACCCAAAGCACTGTCAGTTGTACCAACTCCTGCAATTTAAGTCGGAAAAAATTCTTGAAAACTAATTTAAGGACGAGAAATATCTTAAAGATTTCAATCCGAAAATCAAGCAATGATAGAATCAGCCCAGATTGCCCAACGTATTTAGGATCTCTAAACAAGACATATCAGGGAGGGATGTTGGGACTCATTGATCAGCAAATTTTAATCCCATAGACCATTCCCTTAAAACTTAAGGTTTTGTTTGGGTCTTAGATTTGAGTAGAGATTTAAAGGTGATTTTGGATTATATAAATAAGTGCACTTTTTGATTTTTTACGAAAAGATGTGCAGAAAAGTGGAGAGGTGATGTGATGGAAAAAAGATAAAAAGATAAAAAGATAAAAAGTGTGTACTTATTAGTACACCCCAAACAAGGCCTTATGGAGAAAAAAGAACTGATACAAAATAGCTTTTATTTTTATCAAATTTCCTCTCTTTTCCTTTCCATCCAAAAATTCCTACTCAAATCAAGATCTTAATACTACCTAAGAAGTATATCCCCCAAGCAAACAAATCTTGGGTATGCATTTCCTCTTTAAGATGAGAGTGTGAGAATATTATGCTAATTATGTAAATATATTAGATTGATTGTGTGAATATTAGATTGATTGTAAAAATATATGTTTATTCTTATTTCCTTTTTTAGATTAGGTCTATATAACTCGATTGTACTCTTTGTATTATACAATTGAACATACAGATTACCATTTAGAAAACTTACATGGTATCAGAGCTAGGTTCAAAACCCTAGCAACCATGGTCAGATCTTCTCTAATTTGTTGAGTTCTCTAGTTCAGCTTTTTGAATCCATGTGACTCATCTGAGCTTGAGTCGACCCATCTGGTTTGTGGTTCTCTAGTTCATCTGGTTCGAGATTGGGTTTGGTTCGTCAGAGCCTCACGATTGCTGAGTTCATGGTGGCTTGGGTTACGCATTAATTGGTTCGTCTCTGTCAGTGTTTTTAAAGGCTCAAGGCGCACTAAGGCGCTGAAGGTCTCTCGGGGCCTAGGCGCAAGGCGCAAGGCGCAAGGCGAGACGCGGGCATTATTGAAGTAAGGCGCACAGTCTTCGTAAAAAATAGAAAAATTAATATAGACTGATCATTCATAGTACTTAGACAATTTTTTAAAAAATAAAAAGTAATCAAGATTCAAGATTCAAGACAAAATATAAAATAATTCTCAAAGCCATGAAAGTACATATTACATAACATTCCAATTTTCAAAGATCAAATAATCCACATTCAATAAAATAAAAACATAAACACTAAACATCCAAAACATAAATATCCCACAAATACTAATATATGTCTTAACACTTGGAAACATCAATATCAAAAGAAATGGTAGGTTTGGTCGGTGTCAGTCAATCATCATCCTTAACATCATAGACATTGATCTCAACGACATCATCATCTTCATCTTCATCTTCATCTTCCATGTCCATGTCCATGTCATCGAAATCAGGCAACATATTCATTTCTTCTTTGTGTCTTTTTTTTTGACATGAACTCTCTAATCTCTTCTCTTACATGAGAAGGACACTTCGGGCAAGCAGTAACATTCCTATAACCTCCCGCAAGGTGTTATTTCACCCGATAAACACCTCCATTTGATACTTTACCACAAAAATTACACTCAAACTTGTTTAAATTATTCTCCTCCACCAAATGGGCATATTGCCACGCCGGATCTTTTCTATTACTTTCCGATGTCATTTTCTACTTAGTACTTACTACACAACACAAAAAATAAATAACAGAAAAACAATTTCAGTATAATGAATGTAATGTATGTTATGTGATGAATTAATTAATGTATGTAATGTATGAATCAATTTTCTATTTTTTTAATTAATGATGAATTAATTAATTAATGTACATTACATTCCATTACATTCATTCCTATGTTACATTATTTTTTCTATTAATGTATGAATTAATTAATGTATGTAATGTAATGTATGAATTAATTAATGTTATGATTCAATTTTCTATTTTTTTAATTAACTTATGAATCAATTTATGAATTAATTAATGTTATGATTCAATGTATGTAATGTAATGTATGTAATGTATGAATTAATTAACTTATGAATCAATTTTCTATTTTTTAAATTAATGATGAATTAATTAATTTCAGTATAATGATGAATCAATTTCAGTATAATCATAATGAATGTAATGTATCTATTTTTTTATTTATGTATGTATGAATTAATTTATTTATTTATTTATGTAATAATCATAATGAATGTAATAATCATTAATGGAAAAAAAAAAAAGAAAAGAAAAAGAAAGTCGAAAGAAGAAGAAGCAAATAATTGAAATAATTGAAAAAAAAAAAAAAAAAAAAAAAAAAACCCCTGAAAAAAAAAAAAAAAAAAAAGACCCAACCCAAAAAATTGGAAAAAAAAAAAAAAAAAAGGAAAAAGCAAAACAAAAAACAGAGGAGACAAAAAACAAGAAGTTGAAGTCGAAGGCAAAAAAAAGAAAAGGAAAAAAAAAAAAAATGAAAGTCGAACCAGTGTAGAAGACGAAGAAGAAGGAGAAGGGGAGAGAGAGTCGAACCTGCGAAGCCGAAGTCGATCCAGTGTCGCAATTGAAGTCCAGCTCTTGTGTCGCAGTCGTAATCGCAGACGAAGTCCAGCTCGAACTCGATTGCGAGGCGAAAGAAGAAAGACGACTTCGATTAGGGTTCATCTGAGTCCTATTTGGCTCATATGGTACATGAGTTCTAATCCTCTGTGATTATGAGCCATTCGAAAGGTTTATCTGAGTCGTTAGATCAGATCTACAAATTAAACACTCAGTCGTGCCTAGGCGAGGGCCTTGCGCCTTTCTCGCCTTGCTCAAGTCGCGGCTAAGGCACTCGCCTGGCTCAAGTCGCCTCGCCTGGTACCTGTACAGGCGCAGATGGTGCGCCTCGACTCGCCTTGCGCCTAGGCGCAACTTTGACAACACTGGTCTTTGTTCTTTCAGTTGCGATTCATCTGATCAGTTCTCTCTTGACTTGTCAAGACTGTCTAAATTGCAATCGAAATCCTGTTTGTTCAATTTCTAATTCTAATTTGGATTCGCGACACAGCTTTCTCTCTAGTTTTGGTTTCCAGCGTCTGCATCAAAGAGATGGAGTTTGAGATCGTGACACCCATACCTGTTGGTGTTCGCGATCTCCATTTTCTCTCTAGTTGTGCTTCATGATCTCTCTCTTTCTCACTCTTGTTTTATTTGTGGTCTTGTTCCTCTGGCTCTCTAGTATCCGTGGTCCGCCAAATAAGTTTTGTGCTTATTACACTGTGACCACATCAGTACAAGTTTTGTGGTGATCTAGTTCTAATTGTCTGTTTATTACCCTTTGCCCCCTGATTTGACTATTTTGGACTTATTACACTTAAACCCTTCATCTCTCTGATTATTACACGTTAGCATATTATATTACCATATTACTATATGAGTTATTAGTGTGTAATTATTCTATGCCTCAGGACTGCCTTGTAATTTTTACAAACTTTAATCTTCATTAATATAAATAGGGGATAATATCCTAATCAAACCCGCAGCTGGTTACTCTCTACAATCATCATGGTATCAGAGCTAAACCCTAATACCTAACCCTAGCTACCCACACTGTTCCTATTACAAATCGGCGCCACCAGCCACCACCGGAGGGGCTTCAGCTCACGCTGACTCCACCCTGAGGGGCTTCGGCTCACGCCAACAAAGACCCACGTAGTTTCAGGTGGGTTGATGCCTGTCTAGGGTTTCGGCTCACCCTTGTTGATCGAAATTAGCACCAACGATCACTCTAGGGTTTGAAACTTACCTGGATTGGTCCGCTGCCTCAGTCAACTCCTCCGATGCCATCGTCTCTTTTCGCAACTTCAGTCGTCGCTCATCGTCAGTCGATCTCCTTTGCTTGGTCAGTTCGTCGATCTCCTCTGTCTTCGTCAATCTCCTCTGTCAGTACAGTTTGTCCTCTTCAGTCGATCCTCACTTCGTCGATCTTCTCAGTTCGTCAATCTCCTCAGTTCGTTGATCTTCTTCGTCAATCTCCTCTGTCGCCTCCTCTTCTCTGGTATAACCTCTGTTTGGTCTTACCTCTGCTATGTCGTGTATAGGCTTTGTTTGATCTTCAACACAGTTTGTCCACCCAAAAAAAAAAAAAAAAACTTATGGTTTCTTAATTTTGTTATGCCTTTATAGTGGTCATTGTACCTGTTCTTTCACCACCACCTTCCGGGTTTGTGATTGCCACTAGTTTTGTTATGGGTTCGGTAGTATAGTATTCATGGCAGATTCCACCAGTGTGTCCCCTACTTCTCAAACACCTAGGAGTGAGAGTCCCATTATACCTATTACCATGCCTGAGAACCCCAACCCTAGTCTGAAAATCACCACCTCTCTATTTAATGGTCAGAACTATCTAGCATGGTCTCAAAGTTTGACTATATTTTTGAAGAGCAGAGGAAAGATAGGATATGTTGATGGCAGGACACAGACACCTAGTACCACTGACCCGGGTTATGACCAATGGGAGATTACCAACTCTTTGATTATGGGTTGGCTTATTCATTCGATGGTTCCAGAAATTGGTGAGGGCTACTTGTCTATGGAGACTGCCCAGGATGTTTGGGATGCTGTGGCTGCCACCTATTCCCGCAAAGAGAATTTCTCACAGGCATTTGAGTTGCGCTGCTCTATTAAGAGCTCACTTCAGGGAGAGCAGACTGTCCTTTAGTATTTCACCTTCCTCACCAACGGCTGGAAACGCCTTGATCACCTGTAAGACTATAAGCCTGTTTGTCCTGCTAATTCTGTCGGGTATAAGAAGTTCATCGCACAAGAACGGGTCTTTAAATTTCTGGCAGGCCTAAATGTGGAGTATGATCCAATTAGGGGTCTAGTTCTGAGTATGGACACTCTTCCTTCACTTCAGGAGGCATTTGCCTATGTACAAAATGAAAAGAGTCGCCGGTCTGCTATGAT